TGAAATCATGCATTTCCTAGCTGCAGCCTGGGTACCTTCAGTTAGACAGGAATTGGACTGGTGAACGTTCATTGCCATGAACTTACAGCATACCTTTCCCTCTAAAACTTTAAGGAGTGACATTTTTCTGGGCTTGCAATTTTAGGTGCACTCCTGCCCACAAACAGTGCCTCTGGAGTCTTGATTTTTCCCTCCCTCCATCCTCTGACACCGGCCAGCGAGTCTTTCTGGCAGACGGGACCCTCTGAGGGTGGCTTCTTGGTTCAGCCTTGGCAGTGGGGAAAGGTCAGCTGTGGGGGAAGCGGTGTGGCCTTGGCTATATGCTCTGGTTACAACCCAGGTGGCAGGCAGCCTGCTCGGCTCGCCTGCCCCCTGCATCAGCAACTTCTCTCAGACAGCCCCAACCCCCTTGGAGGCTCAACATGGCCCAGCAGGATAGGGCAGGCTGGCGGCTGTGCCCTCTGCTTCTGAGGCCTAGCTAATTCCTGGGGGAGCAACATGATGGCAGCTTCAACTCATACCCCCTTCCCCATAACCCAATGCCTTTTCTATCACCTGAGTCCACCCAATGGTCAGGGTCCAGCTGAAAGCTCACCTGTACTTGCAGCCTGAACGAATACACAGTGTGTTCTTTGCCTGTAGCACACATGTCTCTTCTCATATAGGTGGTGAGATCCTTGAAAATCAAACCAAAGGTAAATCCATTGCCATGGGGTCGATTCCAATACATGGTGACCCCAGGTGTTACAAAGCAGCACTGCTCTGTAGACTTTCCTTGACTGTGACCTTTATAGAAACAGATAGCCAGACTTTTCTTCCATGGTGCTGATAGATGGGTTTGTAGTCCAGCACAAGCTGTACCACCCAGGAGCCTTCCTTTGAAAACAGAGCCTCTTTTCCTTCCCCCACAGTTAAGAGGTTTATTAGGGAAGTGGACTGGTTACAGTTCAGGATCAGAAATGCTCAGGACCCAGTTCTTTGATTAGGGCAGTCTCTTCTCAGCCATGCCTGCAAGCAGGCCATTTCTGGCCTCTGCTTTCTCTAGTAAAGTTACAAAGATCTTTTAATGGTGCTGATAAATGCACAAAGGGCATGTCACTCCTCCATAAGCCCCCGTCCAAAGGCACTCAGCTCTTGCTCCCCTAATTAAGTACCTGGAGGTATTCCACTCTGCAAACTGAGCCTTCTGCCCCAATGCACTCAGCTTGACTTGCTCCGTGGGCAGTTCTGTCTCCTGCTCTGGACCTTGGTTGTATTGCTGCCGCTCCTTTGTCGGTTCTCTGGTGTCACAGTGCTGTCTCTTGGAATGAGGACATTCAGCACAAAGATATCAGGGTGCAGAGTATGGGCTCTGGGTGGTAATAGGCTTCCCCCCCTCTGGCTTCAGAGATGGATTATTTTATACCCAGAAAGACAGCAAGATTGACCATTCTCCATGTTCCAAGTTTTTGCAATCACAGTTAACCCTGTTATCAGTCGTTCACAACTGAATCATATAATCCTATCAGCATCTTCCTTGTCTGTACCTTCTCTTACCTTGTCTAGACCCATCAGGAAAAGAGGAAATACATCCACCCTGCATGGTCCCACCAGTTTTTTTTTTCTGGGAGTTACAATGACTGGCTAGAAGAGCCATATTAAGTAATTCAATGCACTGCAACAGACCTAGGTCCAGTCCTTGCTTAGCTGTGGGCACCCCTGACCCACCTGGGCCTCAATTTCTTCATCTGGAAGCGGCCTGTGAACCTCTTTCTTAATTGCATTTACAATAATGGGATGGGTCTTTTCCATTTTCCCCAAGTGTTCACAGGTAGCATCAGCCTGTAGAAAAATGGGCACACGGTGAGCAGTCTTCTCAGGGGACACACAGAATCTCAACACCTACTTCTCCTCTTCTCCTGTTGTCCTGACAGAACAACATCTTTTAGGAGATACGTGTGGGGAGTTGCACTGGAAAAGAGAGTCTCCCCAGCGTGCAGAGGGTCTGCAAGAGAAGTAGGGAGCAAAAAGGCAGCTCTGTGACTGCTGTGGGGTGGAGGTGGCCAGCATGGGCTGAGGAACAAGGTCAGGGGTCAAGGCAGGCTCTGAGAGGGCTCCTTGTGGACTGTCTCTACTTGTTCTCAGGTCGTCAGATTCCCAGTAAGGCCTCTGCTCTTTCCTGCTGTTGGAAGGTGCCTGGAACCCACAGCATCCTCACCCCAGGTACCCACTCAGAGTGGGCAAAGGCCCTCCAACCCTCTTCACCTGCACCCCAGAGTTTATTTTTAGGAAAGAGTGTCTTGTGTGAGGCACTGTGGTGTCCATCTTATCTGGGAGGGTTCCCTTGGCATTACAGAAAATGGTGCAGGGAAGCACCAGTGGGGTCAGCAGTGTCACTCACCATCATTCTTATTTACGATGGCTCAGAAACTCCTGGAAAGCAGCTCATTGACTTCCTTGGCACAGCTTAGAGGGCAGCTTGAAGCTAGGTTTCTAAAGCCGAGTCCCTGTCCCCAAGAGAGATGTACTCAAGTTTTTTCTTTCCTAAATAAAGGCTGTGATAGGAGAGCTCAGTGGTCCATAGGAGCTCGTGAAAGAACCAGGCTGTTCCATGCATGCAAGATGCTCTTAATAAATGTTTGGTTAACGCTGTTTGCAACAGCAAAAAAGTCGGAGACAGGTACGTTGGTTGTCATTGACAACAGGCTTAGTACTTGCAGTATATCCTGCCTGTCCCAATGATGAAAGACAGTGTAGCTGTTTCCAAAAGATTGCAGCAGATCTATATGAATTGCCATTGTATGGACAAGGTAAACCACAGAACAGTATGTATGTAGAAGATGATCTCAGTGGACGTGTATAAGGCCATATTCTACATCTCTGCCCAGACTCACACCGCTACTCCTCACTTACCGTCCCATGGAACATTTAACATTTATGACAATAGTGAAAAATCTACTATCCTACTTTTTGTGTCTTCACAGTGTACATCTGGCAGTAAGGAACACTGATGAGAACAAGGTTGACTGTGATGATGGTTAAGGTTATATGTCAGCTTTACCTGGCCCATGATTCTCAGTGGGTTGTCAGTTATACAGTAATGTAATTTGGCACTTATGTAATGATTTTGTGATCTGATGTGTGGCCATCCTTCATTTTTGCATAATGCTGATTTTCACATAATGACTTAGTCTTCAGAAATTAACCATTTTGATAAGTGAGGAGTGAGTGAGTGTGTGTGTGTGTGTGTATGGTGGTAGAGGTTATGTGCCGTGGAGTTGGTTCCGACTCATAGCGACCCTGTACAGGGTTTCCGAGGCTGTAAATCTTTATGGGAGCAGAACGCCTCATCTCTCTCCTACAGAACAGCTGGTAGTTTCGAACTACTGCTGACCTTGCGGTTCGCAGCCCAATTCGTAACCACTACGCTACCAGAGCTCCTTGTGTGTGTGTGTGTGTATACACACACACACACATGAGTAAGTAAAACAGTCTTGCTACTAGGAATCCAGTTCATTCGTGTATGGGTGTATGCCAAATAAAATGTTTTTAAATATGCCTCTGCAATCAGTGAATGGCTGCAGACAAGTTCTCTCAGTAATGCACTTGTCTTAGTTTTGTTAGGGTGCCTTCCAAAATAAAAGATCCAGTCAACACCATGGCATCTGCTGGACCAGTTAAATTCAAGACAGAGCGGTCAGTTCAGACTTTTCTTGAAGAAATTCCAAAGGAGTAATCTTGATAGATTTTTCTCAAAGGATACAGTATAATCATGGAGGCTTATTATGAAGAAGTTTTAAGGAAATTGAAGTCTGCATTGGTAAGAAAAGGGCCAGGGAAGTTTCAGGGTAGCAAGGGCTGTGTTAGGAGAATTTCGTTTGGAAACCTTACTCCATCCACCTCACAACCCTGAACTTGCCCCTTCAGATTTATTTTTGTTTCGAAATCTCAAAGAACATTAAAAAAGAACATGATTTAAGTTCCTCATGGATGCCCAAACTGACGTTTTGATGTGATATAAATTGAAGAATGTAGAATTCTTTGGGGAAGGGTTGGAGAGATTAAACACTGTCTTCAAAAGTGTGGATATGTCGAGAAGCAGCAGCTTCATATTTTGATATTTTTGTTTAGTAAAGGTTTCTGTGATTTTTGCAGCAATGTATTTTGACTCACCCTCATGTAAAGCCAGTCGCTGTATAATCTACTCCGATTGATAGCAATCCGATGTGTATCAGAGGCACCGTGCTCCACTGGGTTTTTGTTATTGTGTTTCCATGTCTCTCTTAATCTGAAACATTTCACAGCGTTTGTCTTTCATCCTATCCATGGTTTGAATAGGACAGCCATTTGTATTGTAGAATGTTCCTCTGTTTGGGTTTGTCTTTTTCCTCATAATCAAGATTTTGTTTTGTTTTGAGGAGTTTCTGCCTTTTTGTTTATTTCTTTTGTTGTTGTTGAGACTGTACACAGTTCAAGTTTCTACATGTACAATTCTTCAAATTACCATTCTTCAAATTGCCATTAATTTGAAGAAATTATTTTCTTCAAATTATCACTGTGGCCCTCCTTTTCTGAATTGTTCCTCCCCATTAACAATAAACTCACTGCCCCCTAAGGCGTTTACATAATCTTTCAAATCGCTGTTGTCAGTTTGACCCCATATTGTTGTTAAAGGGCTGTCGAGTCGATGCTGACTCATAGTGCCCCTGTGTATGATTGCTGAGGTTTCAGTGATTTTTCACTGGACTGTAAGCTTGGTTTGAACCGTAAAGTCCTCGGAAACCCAGTGTCGTTATGAGTGGGAACCATCTCAGTGGTATTAAACAACAAGTGATCTTTGCAGGAGCAGAAAGTGTTCTCTTTCTCTCTAGGACTTTGTGGTTCTCAGTTCAGTTATTATTGTTTGGAGCCATAGTATCCCCTTGATCTGAGGTAGATCATTCTTAAAAGAGCATAATGCTCTGTTACCTCCCAACCTTTTGTCCTCTCCTCCCCACTGTGAGGTGTTGGTGTTTCTGCAGGTCGGAATGAGCTGATTGCCCGCTACATCAAGCTCCGGACAGGGAAGACCCGGACCAGGAAGCAGGTGGGCCTGGGCAAAGGGCAGGGCCTTAAGGGTGGGTACTCCAGAACCAAATAGAGACTCTATATGGGTTGTCTCTGTTTGGTATGCTGCAGGTGGGCCTGAGGTTCTTGCTTAGCAGAGGGTCATCACTTAGGAGAGACCCTGTGCTTTACTAGAGTCAGCAACCCCTTTTTCATCCCCCTAGATGCCAGGAGATGTTGGCACAGCACTTTGAAAGATTGCACTACTCTAGGTTAGCCAAATAGGGCAGGACTGAGGGCCCAGGGAATGACTGAACCTTTCATTCATTCATTCATTCATTCAGTCCACAGATGTTGGGTGGAGGGTTGAGGGAGCAGGGGCGGCCAGGCTGGGGAACGTGTGCCGTGTGGAAGATACTGACAGAACCTCTTCCCTGACCACAGGTCTCCAGCCATATCCAGGTGCTGGCTCGTCGAAAAGCCCGAGAGATCCAGGCAAAGTTAAAGGTAAGCAGTGTTGCATTGGGAAGGAGGGACTGGACAGGTAAGGCCAGATTTCAAGAAGTCTAGCAAGAAAAGATCTTCCCTTTGGGTTTAGGGCCTGGCTGTTGGCATGCAGAGTCAGGTTCTGCGTGTAACTCTTCTGTCTCATGACCTTGGAGCTGTGTGTACAAATGCCAGGTTCCATAGCATCCTGGGCAGCTAGAGGCCAGTCTCCTGTGTGCCCCACAGTGAATCCAGCTCTGAGTGGAGGGTGAGGGCGAGGGTAGCACATTGTCCGGAGTCACATGACCATGTTCAGAGCAGCAGGGTCTGATCCCTGTTGGGGCCCTTTTCTTGATGACCTCTCTATGAGCCTCTGTCCCCTTAGTGCCCTCACCCAGAGCCTGTGAGACTGGCGGGGTATTTGGTGTGGCAGGAATTGGGCAGAATTCGTTCCGGCTCTTCGCTCACTAGGGCTGGTAGGTTCTTCTGCCCCCGCGGGCACACTGTTTTATAGAGGGATTTCCCTAGGAGCACCCCTTCCTCCACAGCACTCAAACATCTTAGGTTCAAGGGAGGAAGTTTCCCTTTAGGGATGGGTTGGCAGCAGTCTGTACAGCTACTTGGTAGGAAGAGCTAACATTGGTGCATTTAACTAGTTTTGTAAACATTTTTAAAGCAATAAGAGGCCCTTTTGCTCCCCCAAAGCACCATTCCCCTTGGGTGGTAACTGAGATGCTGCTCTGGTCAAACCTAGGGTGAAAAGGAGCAGATCAGAGACCGTTGCTCTCCTTTAGCCTCTTGACCCATACCACCAGAAGTTCTTCCCAGTACCTTACAGCACCTCAGACCTTCCCAAAGAAAGCCCTGAAGCCACTGGAGAAAGTGGCCTTTAAGGTCCTTTCTTGCCCCAATAATCCACGATCCTGATGCCAGAGGCCCAGACAAATAGGTGGGAGCCGTAGACACCTCTGCTTCCTAAGAAGCCACAGCCCAGCTGTCCCCTGCCCCCCACAGCTATGGCCTATACCTCGCTCCTTTGTTCCCGGGACAGCTGGCTGAAATGCAGCTGTCAGCCCCTCCCCATCAGGCTGGTACATGTGTCCTGGACACCCCTGGTCCTGGAGCCCAGCTTGTCCCTCCCCCGCCTCCCCCTCCTTCTGGTTTGTGTCTGGCCTACTAGAGCCTACAGCAGGTGGCCAGTGTGGAGGACAGTCGTCCAGTGTTCTGGTCAGAATACTTGAGGGGAACACCTGGACATGCAGCCCACATTTGCTTCAACAAATCACACCTCCCCTTGTGTGACATTCTAACTTAGGGGCGAAGGACATCCTGAGTGGTTCCAGGTACTGGCCAGGTACCCGGAGAGCCTTGAACCCATCAAAAGCAAACGTTCCTGTGTGAGGGTGCTTCAAAAAGTTCATGGGAAATTTCCAGTATCTTTTGTTGTGTGGTCACTGAAATCCAAATTTAATATAATTGCTGTAAATTGTGAATTGGATGAAGGTTTACAGAGCAGATCATCAGTTTTTCATTCGACAGTTCATACACATTTGGTTTCATCTTGTTGATTTCAGTCCTCTCGATGTAACATTATGTATCCTACTGTCTCCCTCCCTGTGTTTGTTTCCATTCCTCCTCCTTTCCCAACCCTTCTGAACTTTTATCTTTGGGTAAAATTTTGCCCTTTTGATCTCAAACGATTGATTATTCCAAGGTGTGCATACCTCATTAGTGCTATTGTTCATGATCTTTTCATTCCATGTTCCATGAGCTTTTGAAGCCTCCCTCGGATGTGTGTGTGTTCCTGGGGAGGTTGGTCTGAAGCTTTTGTCATGCCTTAAGTAGTTAGGCTGACTGACTGACAGAGATCAGGTAGAACCCTTGGTTTCTGGAGCTTGGGTCTCACTAGCCCTGACTCCCTCAGTGTGCCTTGGGGGCTTGAGCCAGACATTGAACCTACTTGGGCTTCAGTTTCCTCATCTGTAAAGTAGAAGAGGGTTAGGCAAGGTGATATCTGAGGTCCCCTCCAGCTCCAAAATCCCATGGCTCTCTGGTTCTATAGCTGGCTGTTGGTGCCACTCCCCACAGTGTCCTCCCCACTCCCTCCTGATTCCTGAGCCAGGGTCCTTTTTCCTGTTTCCTGAACCAGGATCATTTGTTTAGGTTGGTTCTCCAGGAAGAGATATGAGCTGCTGGCACTGAGCGGGTGGAGCTCTTGAGCCTCATAATGTGAATGCCGGTCACAGAGGTCTTCAGGTGGTCTGCCATGTCATTTGTGTCTTCCTGGTGGGGAAAGGCCTGGGAGCTGGCTTCGGCATGTTTGACTTTCCCTCCTAAAAAATATGCATGTCCTTGGGAAGAACAACCCCACTATGGTGATCAAAAACAGACTTGATCAAGGCCCAAGTCTGGCTCTAAAAAGATAGTAGGGAGGGGCCAGGCCAGTTTTCATCTATACTTCACTATTGTGTCCACGCATAAGGGTCCACCCCACCCCACCCCCTGACCCCATGATCTGTGCTGTCTGTGGTGTATTCACGGGGACTGTCAATCCTGATGTGACCCCTCCCTGGGTTGCATGATCCCCTCAGGGCTTCTAGAGACCCCTAAGTAGTTGGTGCAAGTCTGGACCATACTTACAGGCTTGACCATCACCACTGTCCGCACACTTGCATTCTCCGAGTGTTAGTTCCTTTATCATTAAAATGGGGATCCTAGTGTTTTTCAGAGGCAGAGTAAGACAGCCTACTTGAAACTTTCTGTGGCTACCTTGGGCCACACAGCCTCAGTGGTCACCTGAAGGAGATAACTGGGGAGGGCCTGGTAAACTCTGAGACTCTCTTGAGTCAAGTGTCAGCTCTCCATTGCTGTGGAAGCAGCTAACACAGGACCTCCCTCACAGGGTTGCTGTGTGGACCAAGCAAAGTCATTTTGGAGAAGTGTTGTAAGCTTTTTTTATTTAGCTCGAGGCAGGTCTGGGTCTACCAAGTTAATTATTTTTATTACTAAGTATGGCTAATTAATTTTTCCCATTTCAAAAAGTTCATCAAAGTTTTCTGAGTTGACATAAATAATCCATGGATTTAGATCCCATAAAAGCTGTACACTCTTAAAAATAATTGATGCTCCAGTGACTATGTGGTTTTATTTTGGGCAAAGACACACTTTCCATCTGTTGTTGTTGAAGTGCTTTTGAGTCAGTTCTGACTCAGAGCGACCCTGTATAGGGTTTCCGAAGAACAGCTGGTAAGTTTGAACCGTTGACCTTGAGGTTCAATCTGACCTTGCAGTCCAGTGCTCATTGTACAACACCACACCAGAACTCCATTGGGTCTTCCGAAATGTAGGATGCTATTTCATTAATTTTGGAGACTTTGGGTACTGAGGGGACTCAGGATGAGAACTACTAGCTTAAGTATTAAAAAATTATTATTACTATTAATATTTGCCAACATCATACAAATGACATGCCAAGGCGCATACTTCTGGGCCTATGCAAGTGAACCCATTCTGTGGGATCTTGAGTACATGGAGTGCAGGTAGTGGGTATTGACATTCTCATGGAAAGGACCCTGAGGCCTGTGGGTTCCCAGAGTGTAAAAGGAGAGCCATTGTGTGGCTTGGGACAGCTTGGGCCCCAGGAGGTCATTCCTGCCTGCTAATAGTCCACCCAATCTAGTATGAACCCTCCTGCCCATTTCAGGAAGAATTCACCAAATACTTAATGCAGTATCATAAACTGGGCGCTGAACTAGGCACCAGGGGTGCAATGGTGAGCAAGATAGTAGGGAGATGCCCGTTCTCAGGGTTTCTTCAAGTGGAAGCTAGGGTCTGGAAGATGAGCTCCAGAGTTCTTAAGCAGCATAAGTATGATGCCTCTTTGGCAGATGAGGAAATGGATCCAGAGAAACCAGGTGAATCACAAGTAAGTGGCCCTGTGAGGACATCAAGCCTGGCCTCCCAGGGTTCCAGTCTCTGTGGCATGGGGACAGCGTCCCTGACCACATGCCCTGACCCTGCCTGGCGCAGTGTCCACTGCTAAGGTCCTCCCTTCCGATGTCTTCCCCCAGGATCAGGCAGCTAAGGACAAGGCCCTGCAGAGCATGGCTACCATGTCGTCCGCTCAGATCATCTCCGCCACAGCCTTCCACAGTAAAGTGGCCCTCTCCCGGGGCCCGGGCTACCCAGCAGTCTCAGGGGTAAGTGGGCTGCCTAGAGCCAGAGGCTGCGTCACTCCTCGCCCATCAGCCCAGCCAAATTTCTCTTGTTGGAGTCTTCTCAAGCCAGGGGAGACGGGGGAAGGCGGAACCAAGGAATGAGTGGCCTTGCTTAGTCCTGGCTCAACTGGTATTGGAACCACCCTCTTGAGATTTTGGCAGTAACAAAGAAATCTTCCCACAAGGAAGAAAGAGGCCACCTCCATTAGATGACCAGCTTGGTAGCTCTACAGAGTTGTCCCAATTTACAGATGAGGAAGCTGAAGTACAGAAGCTTGAGGGTTAGCACCATTCCAGCATGACCCTGAGTGGCCCTTACTGTGCTTCCTTCTCCTCCCTCTCAAGCACTGCTCTGCTTCCAGTTGGAGAGCTGATGTTCAGGAGCAAACCTTTGTCTGAGGTTTACATTTCTTGGCGGTGACTTGGACAGTACTTTCAAAATGATGTCCAGAAGGGCTCTCCCTTCCCAGGGCTTTTAAGATGCATGTACGGTTCTAGGCACATGGGGAAGGAAGGGGTAGTGACAGACCTTGTTCTCAATGAATGTCCTGTGTAGCATTTTCAAAGCGTATTCTAGAAAGCACTAGTTCATCAGGATGCTAAATAGAAATGAGACAGTGATTCCGCGGTTCAGTAACATTAGGACGTTGTTAGTAGTTAGCATGGTTTTTGACTCTAGGACTTTGCTGAGCTGTAAGTGCTGCTGTGTGATTCTCTATTTTCTAGAAGAGGAATATAGTACACAGTGCTTACCAAGTCCAGGTGTTTCTACTCCAGAGGCTAGGGTTCCTGGAAGCACACTTCAGGGACACGGTGCTAGCCTTTGTTCCCCTACCTCCCTTCTGAGCCCCTGATGTAAGAGGGCTACCGGCCCAGGGCAACTCGGGGTTCACAGCCTTTCTTTCTAGCCGAGGCCCCCGCTCATTCTCTCCACACTGTGGGGCCCATGCTGACTCTGCACTTTTTTGCCTCCCCAGTTTTGGCAGGGAGCTTTGCCGGGCCAAGCCGGAACGTCCCATGAGTGAGTATGACCTGGTTTGTGCCCCCTGAATTGAACTTGAACGTGTACACTCGTGAAATGGAGCCTGGGCCCCAGGGTGGGACACGACCGTAGTCTGGGGTCTGCCATTAAAGATAACCTTGACTTGAAGATCAGGGTCTCCTGCTCTCAGGCCGCAATTGTCTCGTCTGGTACGTGGACACGCTGAGCTGCGTTTGGCTGAACTCCATTCTGTCCAGAGTGGTGGCAGAGCCAGTGCTTAAGACCCAAAGGCAAAGAGGCTGGGAATCAACCTACGGACACAGGACTGGCCTGGGAGTGGGAGCCCTCTAAGGTCACTTATCACTAGATCACCTGGGCCTGTCCTGAGGGGAACACTGGACCCTGCTAGGGGCTCTGGGACCTCACTTTCTACAGCGGGTCCTGTGGTTTACACCTCTTCTCTCCTGTCTCCCACAGTGTGAAGCCTTTCTCTCAACAAACCTACACTGTCCAGCCTCAGCTGCCTCTACCAGGTAGGTCAACAAGGCATGACTCCCTCCCACTTTCTGACGGCAGACCCTCCTCTCAATGCTTCCCAGGCACCCCGATCTTGGCTCCACCCCTCCCCTCACACCTGTGTGCAGAGCACCTCATAGCGTCTCAGCTCCTGTCTGCCTCCCTAACGTAGGCACTGGGCTTGCAGGGACACATTTCTTAGAGCCTTGGGCAGCGGCCCCACGTGTGTGCCTACACCTAGAATGCTCTTCCTTCCTTCACGATGGGAAGAACAGAGACAGTCTAACTGCAGCTTGGGGAACTAGCTCACTAGCAGAAGAAACCCTCGACAATGAGGCCTGGAGGCATTGCTGGAGTAGCCGAGCTGAGCCGAGCTCCAGCAGGAAAGTTCAGACCACAGAAGCCCTTTCCTCTCACTGCCCAGGGGGCCCAGCTATGCCCTGCCTCTTCCTCACAGGGGTCTCTCAGCACTCTGCACTGTGAGAGATAAGACAGATCCTCCCCTTTCCCCTCCTTCCCGGAATCGGGAGATGACTCCCTGCCTGCATTCTGGCATCTGGCCTCTTTGGGCTTTTCTTGCCTTTGAGAGCAATCCTGGATTCATGACTACTGGTTTCTCCCTCCCCCTCAACATCCAAACAGCACAGGTCCTGTCCAACCCACCCACTCTCTCGTCCACACTATTCTGTCTGAATTCAAACCCTCGTTCTTGGCCTGGATTACTGCAGCCATCTCCTTTCTGGTTTCCTGACTTCTTACCTACTCTCCTCACCCTATAATTTACCAAAGCCATCTTTCTAAAACAGCGACCTCTCCATGTGTTTCTAGGCTTAAAATCCTTTAATGGTTCCCTGGTGTCTTCAGATAAAATCTTAACTCCTGCCAAAGACTTCCATGGTTCTTCAAGTTCTAGTCTTTCCAACCTCACTCCCCATGTGCCCCAGGCTGGGGCCGGAACAGACATTGTCCTTTCCAGCAAGCCTCCCCTAAATCCCCTGCCCAGGCACCTGGTGCACACCTCCCTCTCGCACTGGACACTGTGTACTTGTCATGTTTTGTGTGTCGTGTCGTGTCCAGTATGTAGCAGTGCTTCAGCAAGCATTGCTTGAACAGATGAAAGAACACTTCCCCTGGTTGGCGTTGGTTATTGTGTTCATTGCCATTGAGTCCATTCCTACATACAGTGCCCTGATGTGTGCAGAGTAGGGTTGTCAGACTGTGAGCTTTCGGAACCAGATTGCCAGGTCTGTCTTCCAAGATGCCTCTGGGTGGATTCACACCACCAGCCTTTCACTGGTAAATTTGTGCCACCCAGCCACCCTGGTATGAATTGATATTGTTAAGTGCTATCAAGTCAGTTCTGACGCATAGTGACCCTGTATCAGGCTTCCAAGGAGCAACTGGTGGGTTTGAACCTGTAACCTTATAGTTAGCAGTCCAGTGCTTATCCTACAGTGTTATACCAGGACTCTCTGATATGTATTGTTAAGTGACGTTGAGCCGGTTCTGACTCAGCAACCCTTTATAGAGTTTCTGGTGGGTTTGAACCACTGACCTGGTAATCAATCCCGTGCGTATCCTACAGCACCACACCAAGCACCAGCAAATATGTCTGGCATGGTCCTCTACCTACCTCAGTTCCTCTTTGGTGTCCTTCCTCCACATTATACCTGCGTACCCTGTCTCAGTACATGGGTCCATAATTCACCATCCTACTAAACCAGAAAACTGGGCCTCCTCAGCGTCCTCACTGATCTCTGACCACCCATCAGTCAGAGTCCTGTGGTTGTACTCCCGCCTGGTTTAACCGTCTCGTCCCTCCTTCCTCTCAACCCCCTCTACTACTTCAGGACTCCTTTGTCTTACCACCTAACAAACTGCAATAGCCTTGCTTCTAACCTGCTTCCACCTCTGCCAAGCCTTCCCTTCACAATGTCAAAAATGGGAATTGGATCATTTCGCTGCCCTACTGAAAATCCTTCAATAACTGCCCAGAACTCTTAGGATGCAATTCATACTCTTTAGCTTAACACCCAGAGTCTCTCTCATTTCCTGCAGCAGGCACCAACTTGCCCTTCACTATAGTTCTACCAACTAATGAGTATCCAAACTGTCTCAGCTGCTCCACAGCCCCCTTGTCTTGCCTCTGTTGCTTCCTCTGATTGGAATGCTCTTTCCCCATCCTCACCTTGTGACCTGTTTCTTGAACTTCATCACTTTGTCCAAGCAGCACCTTCTGTGGAAAAGCTTTCCTGAGCACCTGCCAGGTGGATGAGGTGCTCCTCTTCTGTGTGGAGTGCACATACTTAATAGTTTGTGCTATCCAGGGACCCAACAGTCATTATTAGCCATTCTTTCCTGAGTGCCTATTCGGGGTCAGGTGCTATGCTAGATGTAGGGGCTACAGCAGTGAGCTGAAAGCTTCTGACTTTCATGGGGCTGACATCATACTGTAATAATCAGTTCATTGGGTCATCTCTGTGTCTGGACCAGAGGCTCATCTCAGGCAAGAACCAGCCTAACAACACCTGCCCCGGAAGGTCTCAGACCAGCAGGCATTCCAACCCTGCTCCAGAATGCAGACTTCCTCAAGGCCTGTGTGAAGCAGAGTTACTGCAGGCTAACCTTTCCCACCAGGGCTGCTCCTGGATGCGCTAGTCAGTGCCCTGCACTCCCTTCCCCTGCCCCTGCTGTAGGGGTGACAGGAGATCCCCTAGCCAGCAACGGGTCTCAGTGGTTAATTCTGGGGTCCTTAGAGGGTGATAGCAGGGGGCTCTGTGGGTGGGCTCCTATATGCCTGTCTCTCCCATGTATAGGGTTCGAGTCTCCTACGGGGCCCGCCCCATCGCCCTCGGCACCCCCCGCCCCTCCCTGGCAAGGCCGAAGTGTTGCCAGCTCCAAGCTCTGGATGTTGGAGTTCTCAGCCTTCCTGGAGCAACAGCAAGACCCTGACACGGTAGGTCCCAGCCTTGCCTGACTGGCTTCGGTCTACCCTCTCCTCATTCATGGTGGCTCCTGCTCTCCTACCTTGTCTTCTGACTTTTCTTCCCTGCTCTTCTCTGCTCTCCTCTGGGTTTGGATTCCCTGGTCCTTTCCAATCTACCCTGCACTTGACCCTCTCTTCCCTCCCTCTTCCTTCCTTCCTTCACCTTTCCTTCCCTCTGCCCCTCCACTCTTTATTCCTCTCATTCCAGTGCCCTCCTATGGTTTCTTTTCCTCAGGCAGCCTTCCTTTCCTCATTCAGCTTTTCTCCTCTGCCCCCCAGGCCTGTGTGTCCTTTGCTCCCAACCCAACCTCTGCTTAGTCCACAGTTGCCCCAGCCCTGCCCCACCCAAGCTGTTCCATTCCTTCCCCTGGCTCTGAGGAGCAGACAGGAAACCGAGGGGCCTCCTGTGTCTGAGCCGTATCTTAAGGGACACCAATGGGGAGCAGCAGCCCCTCACCTAACCTCATCCCCTTCAGCTTCAGCATCCTAGGTGACCAGCGTCACCAGCAAAGGTCAGCTGTCAGGATATCAGAGTGGGGGCACTTCACAGACCCTCTCACTCTGAAGTTGTCCAGTTTATTTTTTCAGTCAAGGAACCCAAGAATCAAACAAACACTTACTCAGAAGCTCAGTATGTAAAACAAAAGCAAATAGCAGTCTTTGGTTGTAACAAGGTGACTATGACCCACCTCTGGCTGCCTGTCTCCAAAGGTGGAGCACAGTTTGCAAACATTAGGTCAGTGGTCTTCCATCACAGATGAGAGAATGGAGGCCTGAAGATAGAAAATAATTTCTCTCAAGTTACAAGGCGAGATGCATGTCACCTGCAGTTTATTGAGCATCAGAGTCCTGGTGTGGCGCTGTGGGTTAATGCGCCAGACTGCAAAGCCATTTGAACTGCAAGGTCAGCGGTTCAAGCTTACCATCTGCTCCGCGGAAACCCTATACAGGGTCATTATGGGTCGGAACCAACTTGACAGCACTTCACAACAACAACAACTAGGTGCCAGGCACCTAACTTACTAGCTGCTCTGTACCCATTAGCTTTTTTTTTAATCCCATTCTTTTACCATTCTCACTTTACCAGTAGGGAAATCAAGGCTGAGAAGGTACTTGTTGCAGGTCACGTGGCAGATAAAGCCTGGTGTTGGGGCTTAAACTCTGATTTGTTCTGTCTGTCCTTCTGCTCTGCTTCTTGCACTTCTATCTCAGACCTGCTGTTCTCTCCACAGTACAACAAGCACCTGTTTGTGCATATTGGCCAGTCAAGCCCAAGCTACAATGACCCTTACCTCGAAGCTGTGGACATCCGCCAGATCTATGACAAATTTCCAGAGAAAAAGGGTGGCCTCAAGGAGCTCTTTGAACGGGGACCCTCCAATGCCTTTTTTCTTGTGAAGTTTTGGGTAAGCTCTTTGATGAACTCTGCCTTCCTACCCCCAGGGCATCCTGATGCTGAGTGTTCTTTACGTGGTGGAAACTTGGAAGGGTAGGACCAGAGAGGAAAAGGGGAGGAGCAAGGACAAAAGGGCCTTCCAGTGGTGGCAGCTAAGGCAGTGGTACCAGAGAGCCAACTGATACAGGGAGGGCCCTCTTCTCCTAGGCGGCTTTTGCAGCCATGCCTTGTGGGAGTCAAGCCTTAGAGGGGTTATAGCCCAGATAGTAGTCCCTAGTTTACCAAAGTTCAGTTCGTAAGTCTGTCTTTAAGTCGAATTTGTAGGTAAGTGAGAACAGCTAGGTATGGTTTGTATCTAATGTCAGCTAATCAAATGTTTGTCTTAGTATATAATACGTAGTGTCCCTTTCTATGCATGAGAAACTTCAAAGAAATCCGTCCAGAGACACTAAAACATCTTGAATGTAATACAATAATGAGAATGTTTTGTTACATCAAAATTTTAATGTAATGGACTTTACTTGGGGGTGGCATAGTAGGTTACACATTGGACAGCTAATCACAAGGTCAGCAGTTTGAACCCACCAGCTGCTTTTTAGGAGAAATATGTGGCCGTCTACACCCATAAAGAGTTACAGCCTTGGAAACCCAAGGCAAAAGTTCTATTCTTTCTTGCAGGGTTAGCTGTGAGTCAGAATTGATGGTAGGTTTTATGGGGATTGGTTCATAAGTACAGGTTGTGTATAAGTCAGATGTTTGTAACCTGGGGACTACCTGTACTAGAAACCGGCTTACAAGAGACACTGAGGGGTAGGTGAAAAACCACCATAGATTCCCAGTTACCCAAGTCTTTATGGGAATGGCAAATCTTGTATTGGTCTCAGGGCCAGGGGCAGGGCAGCTAGTCCTCAAAAACTCTTTTCCAAGGAATGTTGGGCTGGACTGGGCTTGGAGAAGGCGGGAAGTGTGAGGTTAGGGTGGGTTGTCCAGCTAATCCTGCTTCCAGCGCCAGTGTGCCCCAAAAGAAACTCCCACCTAATTTTTCAAATGGCTCAATCCATAAACATGGCCTCTGCTCCCCTCCGTAGCTCACCCTTGGGCACAAGCTCCATTAGGAGCCTTGCTTTAAGACCAAGAGGCACAGCCTCTGCTGTGGGAGCTTAAGGCAAACTAGGGATGTAGAGAAAAGAGGTAAGTGCAAACTAAGGGAGCGCAGGCAGTTCTGGCTCTGAGAGGAGAGCCTGGAATATTCTCAGTTCAGTGGCCCCAGAGCTCAGGAGGTTCCGCCCACATTCCTTTTCTCAGGCCTTTCCAGTTCTGTTCACACCCAGGAGACAGCCCTGAAGACTCCTTTTAATGCCTCTTGCTTAGAAGTTCTTATTCTTTATTTGGCCCCAGAATACTTAGATAAACTGAAAGCTTTACTTTTCTTAGAAAGATGAACATTCACACAAAGATTTATATCTAATTCCAGGCAGTCTGCAGGCTAGGAACAAAATTGTAGCCTAGCTCTCATCTACAGTTCATCCCGGGGGTCTGGCTATCTCCTTTTAACAGAAGAGGAAAGAGCTGGAAAGGAGACCCAGGGCTCCTGATGTATGAGACGTTTAGTTTTCTCACTCTGCAGTCCAGCTTGTTCTGTGGGCAGGATGGAAGTTGAAGTATTGATAAATTCCATGGGCAAAATATTGAACTATGCAGGGAGCATCAGCAGAAGATGGAAGGAACTCAGAGTCACTGTACCAAAAAGAATTGGTCGATGTTCAGTCATTTCAATCATTCAATCATTTCAAAACCCAGAGATGTTGAAGGATGAATTCCAACTTGTACGGAAGGCATTGGCAAAATACTAGGCTGCTGGAATTAACAAAATACCAATGGAAATATTTCATTATACTGACACAGCCCTAGAAGCACTCACTTGTCTGTGAAATTTGGAAGACAGCTACCTGGCCAGTTGACTGGAAGAGATCCATATTTGTGTCCATTCCAAAGAAAGATGATCTAACAGAATGTATAAATTATCAAATAATGTCATTCATTAATTACATTAATTGTTATCATCAATAATTTCATTTTACTTGGGTCTACAGTCAACACTCATTAAGGCAGCAGTAAAGAAATTGAATGACATACTGATCAGGCAAATTTGCTGCAGAGAAACTCTTTTTTTTTAAAGTGTTAAAGAGCAAAGATGTCATTTTGAGAACTAAAGTATGCCTGACCCAAGCCATGGTATTTTCAATTGCCTCACATGCTGGATAATAATGAGGACCAGAGAAGAATCAGTGCATTTAAACTACGATGTTGACAAAGAATATTGAATATACCATGGGCTGCCAGAGAATGAACAAATCTGTTTTGGAAGACGTATGGCCAGATTGCTTCTTGAAGTGTCAATGGTAAGACATCATTTCTCCTACTTTGGATATGTCAGAAAGAACCAGTCCCTAGAAAATGACATCATGCTTGGTAAGGTGAAGGGTCAGCAATAAAGAGGAAGCCCCTCAGTGAGATGCTTGCCACAGTGGCAGCAGCAGTAGGCTCCAACATTGCAGTCGTGGGGAATGATGCAGAACCAGGCTGTGCTTTGTTGTACGTAGCATCGCTTTGAGTCATAACCAGCTGGACGGTAGCAAACAACAACAAGAAATACATGTTTCTAGGGTTGAGACTTATCTGTGGTGTCACAGACGGCAGCCGATCAGGCATGGAGAAATGAAAGGCTATGGACTTTGTCAGACTTGTGTCAAGTTGAAATTGCGTTTGGCTGGAGGGAATCCTTTAAGTAGGAGAAGCAGGATGAAAATGGTATTTGGCAACATGTTGGCATCTAGACCTTAAAAGTGCTTGAACAAGGGTGCGACATGGCCAGAACAAGGGTGCGACATGGCCAGAGTTGTGCTTAGTTGGATGTAAATCAGTCATCCAGACTGGCTAGGGATCTGAGTAGAAGCAACTAGGAGACAGCTGGAATGTAGGCTGAGTAAGAGACCTCAGCCTCTTTGGAACATCAGTTACAAAGTTTTGCTTCGTCTATTCTACTTTTTTTCAGGAAGGGCTTAAGTCTCTCACCTCCTTTTTTTCTCTCTGTACTCTTCCAGCCATGGACATGGGAATTGGCAACAAAAAATAGACTTCGCTGTGAACCACCTATTAACATTGCCACTGTGCCACCAGTAACAGCAACTCCTTATTCCTGTAGTATCTTAGGAGGTTCCTGGCCTCCTCATTGTCAGGGCACTGGGCGGAAGCCTACACCTTCTCTTGAGCACACTTCTATACACACACACACACACAACACACTTGCCCAAGCTTAGCCCTCCCTTAAGGAAGCTGCTTGGGTGAGGTCATTTAAAATTCTTTTTCTTTCTTTTTTCAGTTGTAATTTGGGTGGAGATTTACAGAGCGAATTGGTTTTCCATTTAACAATTTATACACATTTGTTTTGTGACATTGATTGCATTTCCCATGGTGTAATAGCACTCTACCCACTTCCTCCCTGTGTTTACTATTTCCATTCCTTCTTGCCTTCTGAGTTTTTTCCCTAGGGAAATGCTGCCCTTTTCACTTTCATATGGTTGAGTCCATATCCCCTGGTGGTGGTACTTACCTTATAGGCCTGTCGGTTGACTGAAGGTTGAACCACAAGAGTGAGTTCCGTTCTAGCCCTAAGGGCTATGTAAGAGCCGTAGTCTTGCAGGTTCCATCAGTCTCTGTCAGACCGGTTAGTCTTGTTTTTTTCTCTCTCTTTTTTTTTTTCTCTTCCACTCTATCCAGAACCTCCTAGTATGATCCTTTCAGAGTAGTCAGCAGTGGTAGCTAGGCACCATCTTAGTTCGTCTCGTCTCATGGTTGTGAAAACAGAAGTTCTTGTGGTTTACTTAGTCCTTTAGACTAATTGTTATCATGCATCCTTGAATGTCTTCACACTTCTTTGTGCCAGATGGGGAGAGACCAATAATGGTACTTAGCTGGTGCTTACAAGCGTTTTCTTTTTTTAAAACCCATCTTGTTAGAGAATGACAGCAAGTAAACCCATCTTGTTCACCATTTGTGTACCTCAGTTTAGGGTGGGCTTGACTGGTGTTGACTGCTGTCTATCATTGATCAGGTGGCATAGCAGCTGATATTAGCTATTGCCCAGTGGGTAGGGCTACAGAGGGTACGGTTGTGGCTGGGCTGTGTGGGCATAGTTGTTTTCTCCTGTCAGGTTGGAAAGAAACACCCCTCCCACCCATCACACACACACAAGAAAACAAAACAATAAACAAACAAGGAAACAACAATGAAGAGAGAAAATAATAGAAAAAAAGAACAGGCAGTAACCAGAAAAAAATGAATATAATAACTATAGAGACAAAAAAGGGACAGGAAATTGAGCTATTGAATAGAAAAATAAGAGAGAACATAAAATAAATAAATGCTTAGAAAACCTGGGAGAAGGAAAATGAAGAGAGAGTAAAGAATAGTAGAGAAAAATCAAAGGGGTATGAAGGGAAATAAGGAACAGAAGAAAAGAAAGAAAAACTAAAGTGGAGATACAGAGGATAAAATTCAAGTGACTGGAAAGAGAAGAATAAACAAAAACAAACAACAAAAGGGAAAAAACAAACAAACCGCCAAACAAAAAACTATAGCTGTTAGACCGGGAGAGGAGAAAACTGGGGGGTTCCTACAAGCCGAGGAGTTGAGGGAGGTGGGTGTGGGAAGGATGTGACAGCGGAGTTCCTGGCCCTAGATGGAGGTTCCTATAGGCCTCAATGTTATTTTGTTCAGGGCACTCAACCCAGAAGTATTTTGTGGAGGCCCTTGATGGAGTTGGTTTCAGTGTCTGTTAGAACCACAGGGCAACTGGGAACTGGGTGATTGGTTAAATAAATACTGATCTGATGATTCAGGGTTCGTGGGTCTAGAGCCAATCCCACTTGAATCCAGGCCCTCAAAGTGGTATAGCGCCCCCCGCCGCGCCCCCCCCCCCAACCGCATTGCTTTGCACTCTGGAAGAGC